GCGCGCGGCCTCCTCTCGCCCGCCGGGGCTCGGCGGCTGCAGGGGGTCTGGTCACGCCAGGGTTCGGCGAGCGACGTTCGATCCATGCCCCGGCTACCGTTCCCCACGGCGCTCAAGTCGGGCATGTTCCCCATCCAAGGATGGTTAAACAAGAATCAGGGGACGATGTTTTGACAATGTTTGATCATGTTTGTCTCTTTTTTTGTGTCAATTTTTGATTTGTCCTCCAAGCTCCGCCTGTAGGAGGGCATGCCCGAACTGACGCTGGGCGCCAGGTGCATCAGGGTACGGACAAGAAGCGTGGCCTCGGAGGCCAGGATCTCATCCACATCCCCGTGTCGGCCCCTCCGTGGGGGTCGGGGTGCGCAGGGGCACGGACAAAACGTCGAGCGCCTATAGGGGTGTGGCTTGCGAGCTGCGCCGTCGAGGCTTCGGGGGCACCGCGCTGCGCCAGAGGTCTGGTGTCGGCGTCACCCCAACGTACTCATACTATGTGTGCGTCGCCCTCCCAGGGGCGACGCGCGCACCGCGAAGTCTGGTAGTATATGCGCCGCGGCGGGCGCTTTCTGGCCACACAGTTCGGGAAACGACATACTACAAGATGGGTACAGTACATGTTCGGGTCGGACGCGCGCCTCCAAGGAGGACGTAGTACTGGTATGTCTCTGTGCGTCCCACGGTGGTGATCTCTCGTCGGGGCGTGGCGCAGAACTCCTTCGAGGCCCCCGTCTGCCCAGAGGGCGCGGCCTGCGAGCCACGCCCTGCGAAAACATCCGCACCCCTCGGAGTCGCCGACGAGCGCGCCGCGCGCGCTGCCCGCGGCCCCGCGCGCCGCGCCCCTGTGCGCCTCTGCCGAGCGAGCGCGGGGCCCCGCGATGGCCGCCGCAGCCTCCGGCCTCGCGCTGGCGCTGGCGCTCGCGCAGGCCATCGGCGTGGGCGGCACCGGCGGCGGGGGGCCCTCCGTGGTGCCCCTCTCCGCGGAGGGCCTCGCGGCGGCGCTGGAGCTCGGAGGAGGCACGAGGTTCCGAGGTCGTTGAGGATGGAAGAGCCCCTGGCCCGAGCAGCACGACGAAGGCGCAGCCTCACGGTGGTCCGCGTCTTCTTACCAGGGATACAAAAGACCTGGGCGGCTTGCTCCGATGCACCCGCAGAACAAGACCCCCTGCCCCTCATGTTCCTGGCCCTCCTAACTGAGGTCCTCTCCCAAAGGGTCAGGGGTCCTCTCATGCCCTACCCCTCATGTTCCTGGCCCTCCTAACTTAGGTCCTCTCCCAAAGGGTCAGGGGTCCTCTCATGCCTAAGCACGAGGTGCGAGGTTGTCGGGCGCCCTCGGCGGTTCTCGGCGCTTCCGCGCTCGGGGCGGTTCCCGGCAGCTGCGCCTCGCCGCGAGCCTGCGGGGGTGTTGTTGGATCGCCCCGCGCGGCCGGCGGAGCGCGCCGAGCTGTGGCGCGGGAGCGCCTCGCCGAGAGCCTGCGATGCCGCTGCCCATGCCTCGCTTTCGGCCTGTCGGGGGCCTCCTGAGAGGCCCTCGCCGCCACGGCTGGGCTCGCCTCGAGATCCTTCACCGCCCACCAAACCACCCCAACCCAACCCGAAGGCCTCAATGTGCCCTCCATTTCCAGTTGGGGGGGGTCCGGGAACATCGAGAAAACACATATGGAACCCGTACCCCCCCCAACCCGAAATTCGGGTCTTCGGGTTGGGTTGGGGAGGTCTGGTAGGTAGTCAATCCTGGCCAGAGCGCACCAGCAGCGCCCCATCTCGAAGCAGCAAGCAGCTGCGTAAACATGCATGCTCGATGGCCCGCGCGGATTTCCCGGGTCTGCGCTGGACCTCCCGGCGGCGCGCGCCAGTGGCGGCGCTGGAGGCGCCGCCGGTGGGGTCCAGCGCAGATGCAAGACAGGGGAAACAGCCAATGGCATAAACATAACAACTCTGGGGTCCGCGCGGATTTCTCGGATCGGCGTTGGACCCCCCTCCCTGGCGCGCGGAGCGCGCAGGGGCGGCGCTGGAGGCGCCGCCAGGGGGGTCCAGCGCGGATCCGAGAACTCCGCGAGGACCTCAGAGTTTGTATGTTTATGTCATTACTGGTTCCCCTAAGGAACTCCGCGCGGACCGCCGAACGTTTGTCTTTGTGCAGTTTGTTTGTTCCTCTACCTTTGGTTCCCCGGCTCGGGGCTCTGCCAGACTGGAGCGGCAGCGCCGTCTGAGAGTGGGCGCGCTCGCGCGTGCGGGGAGGGGCGTCGGAGGGGGCGCCCTCGGGCCTCGGGAGATCGGCGAGCCTGGCGCGCGCTCCGTGCGCTGGTGAGGCGGCTGCGCGTGCCCCCGCGCCCTTGCTCGCAGCCTCGTCCTCGCCCTCGTCCTCGCCCCTGCTCGCAGCCTCATCCTCGCCCTCCTCGCCCTCGAGCCGAACTCGTGGGCAGGTCCGGCTTGCGTTTCCCTTGCGCGCCCCTTGTCCCTCTCCCGTCGCCCTCCCCCCGTCGGTGCTCTCGTGCTCGATGCTCCGAGTGTCGTTTTGCTGGGTTGCTGGCAAGGCTGTTTCTGTTGCGTCGTTCGGCTGTCGTGCTCACTACGGTGGGGGCGTTGCTCCTCCTCCTCCTCCTACGTTTCTACGTTTCTCGCTATGCAGCGTCTTGTCGCGCGCCCCGCGGGCGCGGAGCGCTCTGCAGCGGCCCTCCAGGGCCGTGCGGGCACTCAGACAGCGGCCCCGGGAACCCGACCCCGAGGAAAGCAGGGAGCCAGGGACCAAATAATCACAGAGAAGGGAGAAGGGGGGCCGGGTTTCAGCAAAACTAAAAAGATGAGGGCCCGTCTGGGCCCTCAGCGGGCGCCGCGCTCGCCCGTGCCAGCTCAGCCAGCTCGGCGCGCAGCCAGGCCTTCGGCCTCTTTGTGGGCGGTCGGCCTCTTGTGTGGCGGCTGGGCTCCCTTCGGCGCCTCGCGCTGAGCCCAGCCGCCAGATCATCAGATGGATGGCCGCCTTCTCTGCGGCGGCCTCCACCCTTCGGCGCTTAGCGCTGTGGAGGCCCGCCGAGCCTCTCTTGGACTCCGGCGGCTCTGCAGCAATCTCCTCGCCTGCCACGCGAGGGCGGTGGGGAGACACCCTTCGGCGCCAGGCGCTGTGTCTCCCTCACCGCGGGGCAGGCTGCCCCTTCTGGTCGAGTACTCCATGGCTTGTAATTCTCCATGGTGACTGACGCTGTATACTTCCAGTACTGCCTGACGTTGCAGAGCTGCACCATGTAGAGCTTGCGCTTGTAGGGCTCCATGTAGAGCTGCGGTGCTGCCGTCGTCAGTCATGACCCCCCTGCTTTTGAGGTGCAGGGGGGTGCTGATCACGGATGTTGTAGATGTCGATGTATGGGGGCTGAGTGCAAGATGTGGAGCGGGTTGGACGGTCGTTGGGGGTCGGTTCGTTGCTGGTGTTGTGTTGGTTGTGGGCTACCAAGGCCTCCATGCACCGACTTCAAGTGGGGGTCGTTGCTGTCCCACCTCGTCCCGCTATGGCTAGGGGTCACGGTGCCCTCGGTGGGGGCGAACCCCAGGCCTGGTACTTGTTATCGTCGGAGTGGGGTGTCTCGGCTGTCCCTCCTCCTCCTCCTCCTCCTCCTCCTCCTCCTCCTCCTCCAGGAGGCCTCAAACCCTGGAGGATTCCTTACCTGATGAGGGCCTGCAGGGGTCTCCACGGCCACTCCACGATTGGAGCTCCAGCGGCTTGCAGACCCTCCCCCTCCCCCTCACCCTCCCCCTCCTCCTCCTCCTCCTCCTCCTCCTCCTCCTCCTCCTCCTCCTCCTCCTCCTCCTCTGGGTTCCTTATCCAACGGTTCTTTGTCGGAGCCCTCACTGCATGTGTAATGCGTGATCCATTGTCGCATGACAGTATTCTCCGTCGATCCGCATGGTCTGCTTCGACCGTACAGGTGTAGGCCCTGGAGCCTTTCCCTCGGTGGCCAGTTCGCTCGCCCTCATCGCCCTCGCCCCGAGCAGTCCCCACTGGCCTAAACATGCCCCCCGAGTTGTCCGAGGCGGTCTCAACACCCCACGCCCCAGGGGCGCCGCCAGAGGCGGTGCGACGGTGTTGACACCGCTCCGGACTACTCGGGGGGGCGGTTGAGGCCAGCTGGGACTACCTCGGGGGGCTGTCGGGCGGGGCCAGGACATGGGTAAATCGCTCTCGAGCGTTTCGGCACGCTCTGAGGAGGCCGCGGCACCCGATGACTCCCTGTCCGATTTTGTCCCTGTCCTGGCCTCGTCTTATAAGCAGTCCGTGCACAGCCCGAAGCCTTACTAGCGTTATCGGTCTGTCCGTTGGTCCCCCCAGGAGCCCTGAGGGTGCACGCTTCCACGTCCCCCGGTCCCCACGCGTCAACGTCCGGAGATTTTCCCAGCCTCCCGCCCCGTGGAACGGAGCGACACGCTGTCACAGCGCGAGGCACGGCCTGCCGCCCCGGGCCGCCGCGACACGCTAAGCAGCAGTTCCCGGCCGCACCTGTTGGCTCCCCGAGCAGCCCGGGGCGGTCTCAACACCGCACTCCTGGTGCGCGGAGCGCCCTGGGGGCGCCGCCAGGGGCAGCGCCAGTGATGGGCAAGTTTTCCACCACCACCACCATAAGTTGGAGGGGGAGGGGCTCCTCCTCCTCCTCCTCCTCCTCCTCCTCCTCCTCCTCCTCCACCTCTTCCCCCCCTCCAACTTATAGTGGTGGTGGTGGAAAACAGGCCCATCAGCCAGGGCGTTGAGATCGCCCCAGGCTGCGCGTGGCGCCTGTCGAGGCCACCCGTTTTTTTTTTTGCTCGGGAGGGGCTGCCGAGGCCACCGGGGGCTACCTGGGAGGGCTGTCCGTGCGCAGCCCGACGCCACGCCAGCGCCATCGCCCTGCCTGCTGGCCCCCCCCAGGAGCTGGGAGGGTACCCTCCTCTCGGTGCCCAGTTCGCTCGCCCTCCTCGCCCTCCTCGCCCTCGCCCGCTCACGGCCGCGGCATCGGTCTATCTATGGGTCCCTTGAGGAGCCGGGAGGCTGCAGCGGCCCGCTCGCGGTGTTCTACGGCACGGGCGCGGAGGCTTCCGCGGGGCACGGCGGCCGCGCGCCCGGCGAGGGCGAGGGCGAGGGCGAGGGCGAGGGCGAGGGCGAGGGCGAGGGCGAGCTGGGCGCCAGGTGAGCGACGCAGACAAACGGGGCGACGCGAGAGGGGGGTGGAGGCGGAGCCGTGGATCATAATATATTTACACATTCGTACACACAAACACACACATACATATATATATATATATATATATATATATATACAAATACACAGATTACCCCAGTGCGACCCTACCTAGAAGTTGGAGCCCCTAGGAAAGCAGCATTAGTTGCTATGCTATGCGATGCTATGCTATGCCATGCTATGCTGCGCTATGCTATGCTATGCTGCTCTATGCTATGCTATGCTGCGCTATGCTATGCTATGCTACGCTATGCTATGCTATGCTGTGCTGTGCTATGCTGTGCTAAGCTAAGCTATGCTATGCTAAGCTATGCTATGTTATGCTATGCTAAGCTAAGCTGCGCTATGCGATGTCATGCTATGCTATGCTATGATATGCTATGCTGCGCTATGCTATGCTACGCTATGCTATGCTATGCTGTGCTCTGCTATGCTAAAGTTTAGCGAAGCTAAGATGAAGGTCAGCTAAGCTAAGATAATCCTGAGCTAAGATGAAGCTAAGCTAAGATAAACCCTTGCATCCTCCCCGCTCTTCTGAGACGTCAAATGGATGTTCGCGTCAGGCATCCCCATCTCGAGCAAGCCTGTGCTCCAGATCAGCCTGACGACCCACGCCTCTACCCTGCCCAGGCGGGCATGGTGCGAGTACCACGTGCCCCGCGTCGTGCGACTGATGAAGTGCATGTCTTGCAGGCCGTACTCAGCCGCAAAGAGCACAACGGACGCCCAGAAGCCATCCTCGACAGCCGTGTACATCTTGCTGCCTTCAACCCGCTCATCGTCGTTCCGCTTGGACGCGACGTCGCCCACATCGATGGCCACAACAGGCCGGGTGGGCTGTGCAGCACCACCTGGTGCCGAGGCGGGCTCTGCAGCACCGCTGAAAGCCTCACTCTGCCAACCTCGGGACATGAGCGTGGGCGGCTGTGTGGCAGGGGCCTCCGGACTTGAGCCGAAATGGTTACGGAAGGCACTGCTTGCGGGGGCTCCGGTCCGGCCATCGAGGCTAGCTCGGCATCTGTCGCATATTGCTTTCCTTTTGCCTTTCCTTTGCTTTGCTTTTGCTTTTGCTTTTGCTTTGCTTTGCTTTGCTTTGCTTTGCTTTGCGTTGCTTGTGCTTTGCTTTGCTGTCGCTGCTGTTGCTTTGTCTTTGCTTTGCTGCTGTGCTATGCTATGCTCTGCTCTGCTCTGTTCTGCAATGCTCTGCTATGCTATGCTATGCTTTGCTATGCTATGCTATGCTATGCTGCGCTGTGCTATGCTATGCTGTACAGTGCTGCGCTATACTGTGCTTTGCTATGCTATGCTGCGCTATGCTATGCTAAATCTCGGCGAAGCTAAGATGAAGGTAAGCTAAACTAAGACAAACCTGAGCCAATATGAAGCTAAGCTTCGCTAAGGTGAAATAGGATAAGTTAAGATGATATAAGCAACGCTAAGCTAAGGAGACGTAGCTGGGGGAACCGCGGGGCGGATGCCGGGGGAACCGCCCGGGCGGGGAACACTGCCCGGCCTTTTAAGCACAGCCAGTAAGACCCCTTCTAGGCAGAGCCTAGGTAGGGAATAACTTGTTTATAGGCGCGTGTACATAGAGGTATATGTATACGTGTACATCGTTTTTTATAATATGCACACATGCCTATATGTGTATGTATATGAATGTATGTCTATAGCCCCCCCCGCCACCTGCCCCCACCCCCACCCGAGCCTGAGCCTCAGACCGAGAACAAGCAAGAGAAGAGCACGGGACGAGCTCGAGCCCGAGTCCAGGCCCGACCCCGACCCGGGCGCCAGCCGCCTCTGGAGAGGGGGGCCTGGTGAAGGAGGCAGAAGAACGGGACAATCTTCACCGGCACTGGCGCGTAAGATGCCCTCGTAAGGTCGCGAGTATGCGCCCTCGTTTCCAGCGTAGCGTGCCGCGCTGGCGGCCCGCGTAAGCCGCGCCGCAAGGTTGCTATGCCATCTCGCGCAAGACTCGTTCCTTTTCGTCGCTCAGGTCGGCTGCGAGCAGCAGGGGTGGGGGGAAGTGAGGAGGAGGAGGAGGAGGAGGAGGAGGAGGAGGAGGAGGAGGAGGAGGAGGAGAGGAGGAGGAGGAGGAGGCCTCCTCGGACGGCGGCGGGGCTTCTCAGAAGCCCCCCGCGCCCTCCGGAGCAGTCTGGGGCGTCTTCGGAGAAGGCTTGGAACAAGGGCCGCAGGCCTTCCGAGTCTTTCCTCCTCCTCCTCCTCCTCCTCCTCATCCTCCCCTTACTCTTCTTCCTCCTCCTCCCCCCCCCCCCCCTCCTCCCTCCTCCTCCTCCTCCTCCCCCTCCTCCTCCTCCTCCCCCTCCCCCTCCCCCTCCCCCTCCTCCTCCTCCTCCTCCTCCTCCTCCTCCTCCTCCTCCTCCTCCTCCTCCTCCTCCTCCTCCTCCTCCTCCTCCTCCTCCTCCTCCTCCTCCCTGAGAAGTCTCACTCCCCCCCCGGCCGCGCCGCCGCTCAGGTGCTGCAGGTGCGGGGACGGCTCCGCCGCGTGGTCCGCGAGCGGCGCGTGCTCGCCCTGCCGCGGGGACGTCGAGCTGCGCGCGCGGGCGCCCCCCGGCTGCGACCCCGCGGGCGAGGGCTTCCTCGGCAGCCGCAGGTTGGAGCCGGCTGGGGGTCTGAGGTGGCCTCGCATCCTAGACCCCCTCGAGTAATGACAAAAATCAGGACGAGAGGTTTTTCGCAATTTTCGGCCTCCAGGGGCCCTTACCGGCCCTCAGGACCGTCAACAAAACGACTCGGGATGAAAAGCCGGTCCGGGGGAAGGGGTCCGGACCTCTGGGGGTCGCGCCATGAAAAAATCATGACGTCGGGGGTCTGGGATTGGTTCTGGCCAGCAGCGCCTTCTGACTGTTCAAACCGAAGCTGAAATCTAGTTTTCCGGAGCTTTATGAAAGAAAGAAAAGAAGAGAAGGGTGCTTGCTTGCCCGGTCTCCGGGGGCCGTCTTCGGCCTCCCGGGCTTGTCAGAGACTGATCTGGGGTGAACGACTGCACCAGATGGAGCCCGGGACGGGTCCAAGGACAGATTTTGAGCCGATGTGCCCCTACCCCCCCCTTCTTGACCAGAGGTCCATCCCGTTCAGATCAACCGGCCACCTCCAAGCAGCAGGTGCGTCAGCGAATGCAGGGCCGTCCTTGCCGAGGCCGAGGCCTCGGCCCCAGGAGCGGGGGCGACCGACGCCGAGGCCCTGGCGTTCTTCGAGTTCGGCGCGGCGGCGCAGGACCTGCGGGACTTCGCGTGTTTCGGCGCGGTCAGCTGCCTCGAGTGGCCAGACCTCTGCCTGGAGCAGAACGTGCGGCGCACCCCCGCGGTGGTGTCCTACCCGCCAAACCAGGGCAGCTCGCGGTTCCATTTCGGCAACATCGAGAAGCAGTCGCTTGTCAGGCTGCTTCTGAGTCAGGCGGAGCCTCGAGACCTGACACAGCAGATTACTTTGGAAAATATACAGCAGTTCTTGGCGAGCCCGCTGAAGCCCCTAAAGGTCCTGCTCTTCTCCGAGGAGCCCGTGAGCCGAGGCTTCGCAAACATGGCCCTCCTCTCGTCCGACAAGGCGCTCCGACCTCACGTGGACTTTGGCTTCGTTTCTAAGACGGCCGCCGCGCAGTTGTTGAAGCGCTTTGGGATTGCGGAGGTCCCCACGATCATACTGCAGCGCGGCATGGACTCATCTTCGCGGAAGGTGCTGTCGGGCGCCGCGTGGATCTTCGACGAGCTCCGCATGTGGCTCGTCGACTACGTGCAGGAGAGCGCGATGCGGGGCGGCCTGAACGCTGTGAGAGAGCCCGCACCTCAGGCCTGGCGGCCCGCGCCGCGGCGCCCCGCGGCCAACGAGCAGGTGCCAGAGCTGCACAGGGAGAGCTTCGAGACGCTGCGCGCCAGCAAAGCCGACCTGCTTGTCTACGTGAGGGAGGGCGAGCTGGAGGACCAGGAGGCCAAGATGCTGGCCGCCCTGCAGCAGACGTTCGGGCAGCAGCTCGCATCCTCCCGCGTCAGGCTGTCGTGGGCGTGGCTGGACCTCGAGCAGGAGCCCCTCTGGCTCGACGCCTTCGGGGTGCACGCACTGCCCACCGCCGTCTACGTGAAGCCCAACCGGAACCCGAGGTTCGCGGCCCTCGCCCACGAGAAGTCCGCCTCCGGGCGCGCCCTGCCCGCGGACGCCGCGTCCATCCGCGCCTTCCTCGACGAGGTGCTGGCGGGCAGCATGAAGTTCAGGCCGCTGCAGGCCGCGCAGCTGTCGCAGTGGTCCGACCGCTCCGCCGCGGCGAAGCCGGGCGCGGCCGCGGGGGGCGCGGCCGGCCGGCGCAAGGCCCGGGCCAAGTACCGTAGGCTGGAGTACGGCGCGGGCGGCTGCCCGCCGGGGCAGGAGATCAGGTCCGCCAAGGAGTGCGAGAAGGCTGGGCTCGCGTCCGCTCTTCCGACCCGATGCGGTCGGAGTCGATCTCCCGATGCCGCTGCCGGTTCCGATGCCGATGCGACTTCGGATTCGGCTCTGGGCGTCGGTGTCTCTCAGCGGAGGCTCTGGGAGCCTGCCGATGTCCGCCCGGTCTACTTCTCCCGACCTGGCTGTCGATCCTCCGCCGATCCAGTTCCTGCCGATCGCCGCTCCTGCTTGTCGATCCGATTCGGGGCCCTCCTGGAAGGCCATCAAGTCCTTGGGCCTCAAGACCGAGCCCAAGTGGTCGTCGAACTACGGGGGCGTGCCGCGGTGGTGCTCCGTCCGGGAGGGCAGCTCGAAGAGCAGCCCAGAGCGCCTGCACTTCAACTCCGCCAAGGATCGGCCACACGTGAGAGTGGCCTCTCTCGGGGGAGCGTAAGACCTGGGTTTGCCAGGACTCGGGTTCGCCATCGTTTTTTGACGACCGCGCCTCGCATTTTGACGAGGAGGAGCTTCGTGGGATGTCTGCAGCGGGAGGCCTCGTCAAAATGCAGGCTCGGCCTCGTCATTTTTTGGACGACCTCGTCGGGGATTTCCGAGTCCCCTGTACCCAGACCCCCGACGTAATGTTTTTTTCATTACGTCGACCCCCAGAGGTCCCGACCCTTTCCCCATGACCAGCTTTGCACCCTGAGTCGTTTTTTGACGCTCCCGAGGCCCGGTGAGGGCCCCTGGAGGCCGAACATGAAGGAAAACCTTCCGTCATGATTTTTTCATTACTCGAGGGGGTCTGGGTACCCAGGTCTTACGTCCCCCTGACTCTCGCCGGAGTGGCCCTGAGTGCGGGCGCCGTGGGGTCCCCAGACGGCCAAGCGCGCTCCAACAGCAGCTGGCCGCGCGCTCGGGTTTGGCCCCCGCGCCCCCCTGAGGACGCGCACCGGAGGTTCCTCCTCCTCCTCCTCCTCCTCCTCCTCCTCCTCCTCCTCCTCCTCTCTCCTCCTCCTCCTCCTCCTCCTCCTCCTCCTCCTCCTCCTCCTCCTCCTCCTCGACTCCTCCTCCTCCTCGACTCCTCCTCCTCGACTCCACCTCCTCCTCCTCCTCGACCTCCTCCTCCTCCTCCTCTCCTCCTCCTCCTCCTCCTCCTCCTCCTCCTCCTCCTCCTCCTCCTCCTCCGTCACTCTTACCCCGGGGTCGCCCTCACGTGTAGCCGAAAGGAGGGCCAGGGGCGCGCGGACCTCGCCCCCGTCTGCCACGTGGGCAGCAGTGCCGCGGAGGCAGGGGGCGCGCAGCAAGGGGGTGGGGCGGGATGGGTCGCCTGTCCAGGAAGGCAGGGGATGTCCGAGGAGGAGGGGGTCGGGGGGGACACTGCAAACGGGGGCCCGTCAGAGCGCCAGATCCTGCAGGATCCTGCAGCGCCAGGGGTGCATCGCCCTGATTGGCGTTCAGGATCTTGAAGGATCCTGCAGGATCTTGCAGGCTCCTGCAATGCCTGACTGACCGGGGTCTGGATTGACCCGGGTCGGTCGATTCCTGAAGCGGTACCGACACCGCTGCCCTTCCCTCGTGTTCGCCTTCTTCGGGCTCCCGGGAGGCCCTCGTCGCCACGACTGGATTCGCTTCGAGATCCTCCCTAGAGCGCACCCCCATGAGAGGTCTGGTTCCGCCAGGGTGCTTTTTGAAGCTCTATGCCTTCTTAGCAGGCCCCCCCCGTCAGGATACAACTCTTGGGAGGTCAGATTCAGCATTGGCGCTGGTATATCCGTGGCCGAAAGCCAGCTCTGGCAAACTCCCTTTTATTTCCGCGCAGTCCTGCTAGTCCAGCCTGATCCAGTTTAACCCTGGAGTTCACCAGGCCTAGTCTGGCTTGTTGGTCCCTTCATCGGGCTTGCTACAGTCCACGCGCATAGTAAGGATGATCGACTTGCCAAGGTTACCCTTGCATCCTTTCCCTTCGGCTCATCCTGGCCACTTTCGCTGGCAGCGCCCCGCTTGAAAGGCGTCGACATGGCCCTCCGAGGCCCTTGCACCCTTACCGCGCATCTTTGTGATGCGTTTTGACTTCAGTGCCTCCTTCGTCGGGCCTGCTATCCTGAGTCGTTCGGGCGCAGGCCGCCCAGAAGCTGCTCAGGAGGAAAAGAAACACACAGACCCAATTAATTTCGATTCCCCAGAAAATATGGGAAACTATGGGAAGTGGGGGGAAGACAGAAACCCAGAACGTATAGGAACATATGGGGAATAGTTGGATTTGTGTGTATTTCTTTGTGTGTCCTGGGGCCCCTTCAGCTGCCTCCAACACCCCCCCCCCCTTCGCCCCCGCCCCGCCGTGCGCGCCGCCTTGAGGGGGCCGCCCCAGCGACCGAGGGCGACGCGGCCACGGCGGACTCGGGCACCGCGGCCGCGGCGCCAGAGGGCAGCGAGCGGCTGGCCTCGCGGGCGGAGAAGGAGCGGGGCGAGGTGCACGACGCGCGGGCCAGGATCGGGGAAGCGTAAGACTCGAGTGCGCTGGAAAACCCGGGCTTGCCCACGCCTCTTGTCACCACCCACCAGACCACCCCAACCCAACCCGAAGGCCTCAATTTGCCCTCCATTTCCAGTTGGGGGGGGTCGGGGAACATCGAAAAAACACGTATGGAACCCGTACCCCCCCCAACCCGAAATTCGGGTCTTCGGGTTGGGTTGGGGTGGTCTGGTCGGTAGTCAGTAAGACTCGAGTGCGCTGGAAAACCCGGGCTTGCCCACGCCTCTTGACGAGCGCGTCCTGGGCGTGGGCGGTCCATGCTTCGGGGGATGTCTGCAGGGGGAGCTCGCGTCAGATTTCAGACCGGGTCTCGTCATTTTCATGATGGCCCCGTCAGGCCAACCCGAGTCCCCGAAGCCGAGTCTTGCGTGTAAGTTCAGCATGTCCTTCTACAGGGGGAGTGTTCAAGAATAATAAAAAAACAGTTCGGAGACGATTCTTCGATTCTTTTAGGATTATTTTGGGGCCATTGTTTGAAGACTTGTCGATCTTTTGTCTTCCCCGCTCCGCCTGCAGGGGGACATGCCCGACCTAATCGTACGTCTCCCTGCCAGGATGGACGAGGTCCCGAGGCCCAGGAGGGGCCCCGGGAGGCCGAAGACAGCGAAGCCCTTCCCGTCGTGATGCTTTCACAGCGCGAGGGTGTCTGGGGTCTTTGCGCCTCCCCGACAGGCAGGACGCGGTGCGGGACCGCGTCTCCGAGGCGCTCGCCGGCGTCGGCGGCGTCCCCGGCCTGGAGGAGCTGCTGCAGCGGGTCGTGGATCAGGTTGCCCAGCAGGAGCAGGGCGTGCCGCCCTCGGGGCAGGACCAGGAGGGGGGAACACACACACAGAGGCACTATTTTTATCGTCGGCTCCCAGGAAAGACATGGGAACGTGTGGGAGGTGGGGGGCGCGGGGGAAGCCGCAAGCCCAAGGCAACTGGGAGAAACCGTGGGGGATCCTGGGCGTCCTGTTTGTTTCTGTGTGTGCCCCTGGGCCCCTCCTGGAGCTGCTGCAGCAGGCCGCGGGGCAGGCCGCCCAGGGCGCGCCCGGCGCGCCGCCGCCCTCGGGGCAGGAGGAGGCCGCCCCCGCGCCGCAGGAGCAGCCCGCGGGGCTGCAGCACCTGACGCGGCACACGCGCCGGCCGCTCTTCGGCCAGCCGGGCTCGTGGCTGCTGTACTTCAGCGACGGCGAGCTCGCCCCCTCGGATCGAAGGAGGATAATAATGAAACGCTGATAGCAACAGTGCTACTCGTGCTAATACTTGCACCAGTAATAGCCCTATACTACTACTACTACTACTACTACTACTACTACTACTACTACTACTACTACTACTACTACTACTACTACTACTATTACTACTACTACTACTACTACTACTACTACTACTACTCTACTACTACCACTACTACTACTACTACTACTACTACTACTACTACTACTACTACTATACTACTCTGCTACTCACTACTTCGACTACGACTACGACTAAGACTACGACTAACGACTACGACTACGACTAATCCTACTACACCACTACCACTACTACTAGTACTACTACTACTACTACTACTACTACTCTACTACTACTACTACTACTACTACTACTACTACTACTACTACAACTACTACTACTACTACGGTTGCTTCTACTACCGCTACTGTTACTGCTACTGCTACTGCTAGTGCTACTTCTTCTACTACTACTACTACTACTACTACTACTACTGCTTACTGCTACTGCTACTGCTACTGCCTCTGCTACTGCTACTGCCACTGCTTCTGCTTCTGCTACTGCTACTGCTACTGCTACTGCTACTGCTACTGCTACTGCTACTGCAATTGCTGCTGCTACTTCTACTCCTACTCCTTCCATTATTACCACTGCTACT